GATATATTTACTCCATCAAGATAGAGATGCTTTAGCTCCTTGAGATTCTGAACAAGCATAAATATATTTGGGTTCTCAAGTTTCAATGAACTTTCAAGAAGGACACTTACAGATAAATCAAGAGTAACCAAGCTTGTCATGCTTGAAATCTCTAGCGAAATTTGCCCTGTGAAGCCAGCATTTGAGAGATTAAGATTGCTCAACTTTGCAAGTTTATTGAACCCAGAAGGAAATGTGGAGTTGAGGTGGTTATTTGCCAAATTTAGACTCTGGAGATTCTGGAGATTGAAGAGACTGCTTAAATTGTGAACTGCATTGGAAATGGATTCATTGCTCAAATCAAGATCGGTAACATGACCTCCAGCGTCACATCTTACACCTTCCCACATGCAGCAATCTGTGCTTTGATTCCAGTTCACGAGTTTAACAGATAAAGAGGAATTGAAGTTGAGGCTGTTCTTCAACTGAAGCAACAATTCCCGCTGATCACGTTGACATTCACCTGAAACGAAAACCACATCCATCTGAAAGAAAACTGCTGTAAATTGCATCAAGAAAAGCCATGTTAAGAGTGAAATCCTCATCTGCATCGATATCAGGAAATGCCCGTATAACTCAGAATTACAGATAAAACAGTGCAAGAAACAAGTTCAGGAAGGTCTGCAATAAACATGACCCTTCCTTGTAAAGAAGTAGCCAACCAAAAATCATGCACGGCACCGAACGGCGACTACAGGAAGTGTAGAATGAGATGAAAAACTGGGAAAGGGATAGAGAAGGGATGGTCAGCAGTCAAAGTAAACCGCGTACGATACATTACCAGTACGCTTTGCTTTGGGGGTAACGTTGTAGGTTTTTGAATAGTAGCCTTATCTGTCGGCTTCTGTCTTCTATATATGTTTTATCCTTTTCTAGACTTTGTTCCTTATGAATTTTCCAACTTAAGAAAAATCAAAACCAATGATTCCTCCATATATTGTATTCAAAGATGGGTTATAATGTCTCTTAGCTGACCTTTTAATAGTTAAAAAATTAAATTTTTATATTAAAAATGTTGAATGAAAATTTTGAAATTTAAAAGGCGAGATCTATAATTTTTTATTATATAATTTATTGGTTGATATATAAATATATAAAAAAAAAATTTATAATGCCAAGGAGCACTTTAACTTGAGTAAGGCTTTATCCCAATATCTCTGTATTTTAACAATTAGCAAAGTTCTTATAGCATGGTATTCAGTTTACAAATTTTTTGTAACCCAAAAATTCATTTTAGAACAGTAATATGATATTATATGAGTATGGTTTTAATTAAAATTTGTTACTGATCCGATTTTTTTTTCTTGAATTTTATAGAAAGTTAGTAATAATAGTATTTTCTATGTAACTATATGCATAAATAATCTAAATCAGGTATTTGTTTAGGTCAATCGCAAACCAAATTCAGGGAAATAGATTCATAGAAAATGTACTTCCGTGCTAAGCTTCTCTTACCAATCAGTTTTTCAATCCACAATTATCAATGAAATGGACTCATGGGCAAGGCTCGGAACAAGTCTTAACATAATTTACTCATCATTTTTGTCCAAAAGTCATTTACGTAATTAATCAGATATTGCCCCCAGCCACAGGGAAATAGAATTCTGGTCACATGAACAAAACGTAAGCTTTAATACTCAACCAACGGCATTAAATTGTGGTGTGACCGGTTGGGTAAGGCTGAGCCTGACACCTAAAAGGGCAAAAAGGGGAAAGGCTTGGCATCCTAGATATTTCCAGTCGTTTAAAATGAAGAGTTGATCACTTCTACGCATGAGTACAAAAGGCTTCTTTAGGAAAAAAATTTTATGGGGAAAATATTTAGAGGTTGGTTCCTTGTTCGATTTACATCCATTAAACCTAATTTTAAAGTTAAAAACTCTTTAATTAAACAAAAAAAACTTAGACAAAAGAATTCAAATAAAAAAACAGGTGAAATTACCTTTTAACTTGAGATTGTATTTTACCATCTTCAAAAATCATAACTCAAACTTTAGTTATATTTAATTTATGGATAATTTTATAAAATTAATTCACTTACAATCTTACCTTACAATAAATTAAATTTCATAAAATTAAATAAGTGAAAAAAAAAAACTACCTCACATAAAATTGTAAGAGAATTAATATATGGTAAAATCAGATGTATGGATGTATTTTTCTTTTCCTTTTACTTTTCCCCATGAAATGATGGTGCGAAGTTTCAAAGCAAGTTGGCAAGAGAAACAAGAACCGCC